CGGCTCGGACAGACAACCACACGTTGGTATGATTCAGCTTGTGCCGGGCCAGGTGGTCATGGGTACCTGAGAGCCTCCTCTCTGCCCTGTGCCTGATGGGGGTGGGGAGTAGAAGCCTTAGAGGCGACATTGGCATAGCCTCTGCCTCTGGGGCAGCCCCAGGTTGCCCAGCAGGGCCCTTACCAGTTCTTTGAGTGGCGGTCACTTGGCGCCTGGATCTGGACTGGCGAAGAGGGGGAGTAAGGGCCTGGCCCGTGGCCCTGGTCTCCCACCCACCCCAGGGCAGCCAGGGGCCTCCTGCCGACCAGAGGGGCGCGTGCAGTCAGAGTCCGGGCCCATCACCCCCCCTTCACTCCCCCCTCCACCCAGGCCCACAGAGAGCGGCAGAGCTGGAGCTGCTAGGAGCCACCACCTCCCAGTCTACCCCACGCAGATCAAGGGCCTGGACCGCGGTGTCTTCCCAGAGGACGTGAAGAGCTGCCAGGCCCCGACCAAGTGAAGGTAGGGGAGGGGGAGCCCCTGTCCTGGCAGGGGTGGAATTTGGGAGGGAAATATAGTGAAATCCCCACACTGCCCCTAGTCCATCCCTGCAAACATTCAGGAACGCCTGCCATTTGGGGTTGGACAGTCCCCAAGGAAACACAGGCAGCAGGGAGATCACCGGGATGAGGCCTCATTGGAGACGGAGGGAAGATGAGCGTCTGGGGAGTCTTCCTCAGGAAAGGCCATTTGAGGCTGGAGGAGTGGTTAGGGGGAAGACACCAAAACCACAGGGGTCAGCAGGGCAAAGGCTTAGAGGTGGCAGGGCATGATTTACTCTGGGGTAAAGCGTAGGGTTTTGAGGGGCTGGAAGGGGGCTGGAGAAGGAGGAGGGACAGAAACATACGCAAACTCATCCTAGAAAAAGTGCTGCGTACCTCATTGCTGAATGTCACTACGGTCACCTTCTAAGTACTCCCCTTGGGAAGCTATGCACCAGCGCCAGTGCCTAGTCCACCCTTCACAGCAATTTTGGGACTTTTTCTGGAATGGCCATCACAGCTGTCGTCGTATACCCTGATGTCATCAAAATGTCTTCCTTTCAGTATTTCCTTTATTTTGGGGTAAAGAAAGAAGCCATTGGGGGCCAGATCAGGTGAGTAGGGAGGGTGTTCCAATACAGCTATTTGCTTACTGGCTAAAAACTCCTTCACAGACAGTGCCGTGTGAGCTGGTGCATTGTCGTGATGCAAGAGCCATGAATTGTTGGTGAAAAGTTCAGGTTGTCTAGCTTTTTCACGCAGTCTTTTCAGCATGTCCAAATAGTCAACTTGGTTAACTGTCCAGTTGGTACAAATTCATAATGAATAATCCCTCTGATATTAAAAAAAAAAAAGATTAGCAACATGGCTGCAACAAGTTTGCGAACTTAATTGTCAGACCGCCTATCATATGGGTTGGAACCAAAATACTAGCAGAAGAAGGTTTAGGCAGACGAGAAATCTGATCAGCCTTGATTAATTCTGCGAGCATCCAGAAGAAAGGGCAAGAGGGAGGCATGGGAACCAGCCAGGAAACGGTGGTGATAAGGGAGGTGGAGAAAATGGCCGGTAGTAGAGGCACATTCAAGACGTGTTTCTTCAGGAGCTTCTGTCCAAGGTTTGATCCAGGGTGATTCAGGGACTGGGGACAGGGAAGGAGAGTACCAGGGGCGGGATGGGGTTGGGGTAGGGGCACTTAAGGATTGCAAGCATCCAAATCCAGAAGGGTATAGAGGAAATGTTCAGAAATTGTCTCACTGTAGTTATTATTCGTAACCACAGCTCTATAGAACTTAAGTTCACAATGGAGCCTTTTAGTTAAAAAAGGGGTGAGTGGTTTCTATGCTCGCAGGCTGTGCACGTGTTCCTGGGCCGTCTCCAAGCATAGCCAGGGCTGCCCCGCTTTCCATGACCACTCTGCTGGCTGATGTCGGAGGGCAGTGCCTCTCCAGGATTTCCCGGCCTGTGTTGTCAGCCATACTTTATCAGTCCTGGTTCAAGTTCATGAAATCAGGTTAGAAAGCAACGTGGTGCCTACATTTGTGTCCACTGTCCAGAGTCTCAAGTCCCCCCTTGAGGCAGCTCAGTGGGCAGCCTCTTCTGTCCGGGGTTCCAAACACCCACAGTACTTCTGGCAACCTCTACGGTGTCACTCACTTTTGCTACATCCCTCAAACGCTAGCACGGGAGAAAGATGTACACATAGGACAGAACAAGAGACTGAAAGGGGTCACTGAGGTACTATAGCCCAACTCAACAAAAGTCCTTCAAAGGTGTCCACTGCCTTAGGTCTTGTTAGTGGCAGAGCTAAGAGTAGAGAGAACATCTTCAGGCTTCCTTACCTGACACCACGACCACACAACATGGCTTTTCTGTAAGTGGCAAGAGTGAGCCAAAGGAAAAAAAAACCTCTTCAGGCTCATCAGCTTGGCCCAGCTCTGCGGTGCGGGAGGTACTGGTGGGCATCACCCATGACGCTGCTCGTAGAGGCCCTAACCACTTCCCCTATCATGTCACTTTCTTTGCACTCACCTCCTGCTGCCTCTCTCGCCCCCTCGCTACTTCAAAGCTGCAGCAGACAAGCCTCACCTGTCACTAATACCTATCACAGCCACAAGAGAAGGAAAACAGGGTTGCTGGTGATCAGGAAGTGAGGTGGGCACAAGGGAGGTAAACAAACCGGAGCTGGAATCCATTTATCGACTGGCTGCCAGAAATAGGAGCGGGAGGCAGAGGTTCTCTCAGCAGGGGCAGGCCAGCTGCTCTTAGGGACCAAAAGTCAAGTCAGAGGGACGGCTGGTGAGCTCAGGTGGTTAGAACGCAGGGTTCATAACACCAAGGTTGCCGGTTCGATCCCCACATGGGCCACTGAGGTGCACCTTCCACAACTAGATTGAAACAACTACTTCACTTGAAGCTGATGGGTCCTGGAAAAACACACTGTTCCCCAATAAAAAAAACCAAAAAACAAAAAACAGTAAAGGGCCGGCCGAGTGGCGCGTTGGTTAAGAGCTGGCTTGGGATGCCAGAGGGCCCCAGTCCGATCCCACATATGAGGGCCAATGACACTGCCCTCTACAGCTAAGATGCTGAACAACAGCTCAACCTGGAGCTGGGCTGCTGGGAGTTGCCGGGGACGGCGTAGGCTGCAGCCCCTGCTGCAGTGGGTTGCCATGGGCTACCGCCAGTAGTCACCGTGAGCGGCTGTCCAGAAGCCGGCAACTGATCTGCCTCGCCCAGGAAGAGCGCAATGATGGTGCCAACTTGGGCCAGTGAAGCAACGTCCTCCACAACTAGACTGAAGAACCAAAGGACAGCAAATTGTCTGTTCCCCTTCCCCCAATTCCCCAGTGCTGTTCCCATCCCCCAATTCCCCAATAAAAATCTTAAAAAAAATAAATAAGTGAAGTCAGAAGCCAAGGGCTGCTGGGACCAACGCTATCATTTCACATGTGACACAGGTTACGAATGGAAACACAACAGAAAGGAAACAGCCATTTTGAAAGCTAGAACAAAGAGGAAGACTAGACAAATAAAAAAACTTCTCACAGAAATTTGAACACTGCTATCCTCTGGAGATGTTTAGCAATTTGAGATTTGGGAGACAGCTTTTACGTAACCTGACAGATTATGAGTAAGCACTCAGATTTAAGCCCATAAAAAGAGCTCTTTAAAGGATAAATTGGACTGGCTGTCGGGCATGAGTTCTTATCCGTTAGAAGGGTCCTCCTCGGTCACACCCATTACCCATGTGGGATATGGAAAGAATTGAACACCTTTCGCAGTAGACTGCAAATTTTTTTTTTTTTTAGCTGAGCCATCCTGCCACCTATTGGCAGCTCAGCGGCAGCTCAGCTCGGGCCGAGCATCAAACCGCTGTTGCTCAGAGCTCAAACTCTTGAGCAAGCTCTTAACCAACTGAGCCACTCAGCCGGCCCTAGACTGCAAATTTTAGTGCGCATCAGTCACATGGGGAGCTTGGGTGGAATGCAGAGCTCTTCCTCAGAAATTGATTCAGTGAGAATGGGGCGGGACCACGAGCCTGCAGTTGATGAACATCCCCAGGTGGACAGTGCAGGGGGGCTACAGGGAAATGCTGGCTCTCGCGGTGCTTCTCCAACTCCCCGAGACTAAGTCACCCAGATGACTTGAAGATTCCTGGTTCCATCCCTTACGGATTCTGATTTACCAACAAGAGTGATTCTCTTGTTGATTCTCAATGGGAAAGTCTGAAAAACAATGGTTTATACAACGCCCTATGGCACTTAAAAATGGACCAATTTGGGGCCCCACCCAGAGATTACATTTGGTCACAGTGAGTCAGATCAGATCCCTTGACTGAATTCACCAGGAGCTAATGATCCAAACATCAGCAGCTATGTATTTAAATCAACAGCTTCGGTGACAAAAGTTGGGTCCAAGTACAAATTAGGAAGGTTAAGGAAAGCGGAAAAGGTAGGTACTCTTTTCACGGGAGCATCAAAGTTAATGGTTTTGGCCAGTAATGTGTTGGATTCCTAGTTAACAGGAATAAGATTACCATGGTTTTCATGTTCATTGTCTAGAACAGGTTCAGTGGCTTGGAACTGAGAGCTATTTCCATCTTAGCACAAAATGTGGAAGACATTTTCTAGATCCCCACAACCAGAGGTTTCCAGTCGCTCTGGCCAATTTTTTAGTCTATGCACTGCAATTTGGTACCCTAAGATGGAAAAGGGTTCTTCCGGGATGGAATGACTGAAGAGAAAGCTCTTCAATGAGTATTTAAACCTCTAGGTAGAGAAGACATTTACAGAAGAGGAGCTGCTGACCTATTTCACTTTCCCAGGATCATGACACATTTTACAGGCCGCACTGCAGCGAGGCCTAAACAGTCACGAGCTCAGCATCCTTTGGGAAAGCTACAGAGCCACTTACTTGGAGGGAGGGTTGGGTGGGTACAAATATAACAGGAGTCCAAGACACATAGGTAATTCCAAGTTGGCAAGAAAAGTTGAATTTTATTTTCAGTTCTAGGCAAGTCACAGCATTATTTTTAATACTGAATGGACTGAATGAAAACTGAGCTCTAATCAAATTTCTAATTGTCTCCTTCTAAATGAAGTGCTATCAATATCAGAAAGCACATTTCCACCAGCGAGCGGAGCCTGACAAATGAGCTTGCCTCTGCGACAAGAGCTCTTTGTCTAATAGCAACTCCCCTCAGCTGAAAAGATGAAGAAAGGCTTCCGTGAATACGGTGATTGGAAGCTTTGCTGTCAGAACTAAGGCTTGATGGACAGCTACCGAATCCAGGGGTCAGCGAGAAACTGTTAAAATGTTCACCATCTCGTTGGTGACGGCTGGATCATCCTAATTCCTTCCTGTACCACACTTAACAAGTATCCTCAGATGAATAAGGTAAGTGTGAATTCATGGAGAACATTAGTAATATTCGAGAAGTCAAAGAAACTTTCAGGAATGCTTCTGAGTACAAAATAGATGATGGAAACAAAGCCCAGTGAATTCAACTGCTCTCCCCTTTTAATCAGTTTTACAGAACGATATAATCATCACATTAGGAGACAGGATGGTTTTCCTGGACACATACAAGACTGTGCAAGCTCATTAACTGAGGCTTATAGGTTTTATCAGTTTCAAGAGAGGCAGTACAAAGCTTTTTAATACAGGTGAAGCACAAGAGTGCAGTAGACAAGACATCAACTCAGCAGAGGTGAATTCTTAAGGCATGAGGCCCCTGCCCACACTGCCTCCCATTCCATTAACCAAAGGGAGAGGACTTCCTCTCTCGTGAACGTGACCTTTGCTGAGCGCAGACCTGTGGGACCCAGCAGCTCCACAGTGACTCCACAGCTCAATCACACCAACCTTGACGCTGAAGCAAGCTCTATCTTCCTTTGTCCAAGTGATCTCAAGAGTAATAAAGCTATTCCTGGTCATCCTACTTCTTGGGTAACCTACATTCTAAGATATTTAATCTGGCAAAGTTCTCAAGCATTTTGGCATTCAAAATATTGCAATTATCTCAGCACTGTTCATCTACTTACTAAAAATTCTTTGAGCTTCAAGACTGTTTGATTCCCACCCCCCAAATTATGGCAATTGCATACAGAATAAATTCACTAGACTTAAAAGAACTAAAAAGAGGGCAAATATTGACTTTTCCTTAAAGAAATTAAGTAGGGATGGAGGGGCAGGAGAAGAAAAGGCTGGGACACACAAACGGAAGAAGCTAATTCCATCACGTTCCTATCACCTCTATGCGATCCACTAGTAATTCTGAGTGTGTGGTCCTCCTTTCCCCTTTCACACCCAACCACATCAGAGAAAGGAATTTTTAAAACCTCACTCATTTAAAACACCTAGTGGGCCTTTACTTGGCCCCAGATGGAATTCCCGGGTAGGCACGCTCACTCAGCTAGAGTCTTATGGCTCAATACCGTTTGGGCTGCGTTTTGTTCTATTGCTTGTGCACCTCAGGAACATCGAGAGTGAAAATCCACGTTGATCAAGGGCTTTGGGACACATCAGGAAGAGAAAAACCATGCATCACATCTACTTTCAATCCCTTACCAAACCCAATTCTCTTATTGCTGTGATTTAATATCTGTATCAAAAAGGCTTTCCTAAGTAGGGCTTTTACAAAGAAAAAGTAGGACAATGCAATAGCTGTGACTGACATTTGACCTAAAGTGGAGAAAGAAAACAAACCGTTTACCAGTTTAAAAACAAAAAACAAAAAAAAGCTATTCTATAAAGAAAGGCAATCTTCAATCTGTGTATTACTTAGCTTTCTCCAGAAGCAGAATATCAACACAAAATACAAACTATAAGGTTAATTCCACAAGACTTCAGTGCACTGAGCCACTGTCTCCCCATTTAACATTCGTTAACTTTGTAAGTCCCAGGTAATAATCAGTGGCTACCGAATGTTTCCTATGGGCGGTTGTGTCCTTTTGCAACTAATCCTTCATGTAAAATAAATACTGGAAGAAACATTCAGAGAGCAACTATTCCTCTTTCCTGCAAGAACAAAAGCAAAGTTCTCCCTGTCTTCCACCCACCCCTCGTTACCAAACGCTGACTTCAGTAATCAGCACTCTGACGAGCCCTGCCATGAAATCAAGCCAGCGGCGTTAGCACTGAAGCAGTCCTCGCTCCTGACAGAGGGAGCTGAGCTCGGCTCTGCCAGCTCCTGGGTCAAGACCCAAGCACCCGCCTCCGTCTCAGAGGTGTCACTGAGGCCAGGTCTCTGGGACTCCACCCTCACCCCTGGCTCAAGCCCTGTGGTGCAGCCCTACAGCCCAAACTCAAAGGAAAGAGTCCTGTACAGTGTCCACGTCGTCACAGTCATTCCCATGGAATAGACTTAGGGACCATCGTGGAGGGGAAAAAAATCACCAACTTCCTAGTTAAATCCCGTAACAATGAATTTCAACTATTCCAAGTCTTCTATTGACTTAATATTTATAGAATCAAATGCTGGACTAAATGAACTCACTCCAGGTCTCAGAAATCACGTTAGACAGTTTTGTTTGTCTTGTCAAGTATTTACGATGAGATCGGACTTCTAAAACCCAGGCAAGTCTGACACTTACAGCCCATGAAGCACATGACCACACACCGACTACTTGACTTTACATTCAAAAGGACATTTTGTAGTACTAGTTTAATTTTGATCTCTCCCTAAAAGGCAGAAACCACATCCCACACTCCTATGCCCCTTATTCTGGTATTTTTAAAAGAAATGAACGAGAAGAGGTGGGGGCATAAAGAAAACCCAGCTTCTTTAGGCACGAGACACAGAGATGTTGGAGACAGGGCGACAACCTCTGCCTTCATCTCTCAAGGTTTGTCACAGTTCCCTTAAAAATGTCTGGAAATGCTGTCAGCAACAAGGGACTCAAGGTATGAAACTGAGTCTGTTATAAAAGAAGCTAAACACGATTAGGAAACATACAAAGTGAAACCAGTCAGGGATGACCATGTACAAGACTTGTGCTTGAAGGTTTGGTGAGACTATTGGCCGATTTCTCAGACACCAAAACCCATTCCTGATTAGTTATCAATATACAATCAAACCAAAATATTGAAACACATAATATTTTTCAGAAGAGGGAAATAAAGGCACAGAAACCTGCCAAAATAGATTTTTTTCCCCATAAGAATAGTATGGTTGGTTAAAATAGTTTATCACTAATAAAACTCGTTATCACTAGAGCACACAATACAAATTAGTTTTTAAAAAAATGACATTCACTGAATTCCTGGTCTGTGCATTCAATGTGAATAATCATCAAAAATATATTACATTTAAAGGCTTATAAGGAGCTCTGTTTGGGGTTTCTACACTATACTTAGTATTTCAGGTGAGAAGTACCACAGTCAAGTATTAGGTATGCACTGTTCCTTTATATGTAACGTATGGCGATTAAAGTCTCTCTCCTACAGCAGGCTCAAGGATGTCCATGGTGAGAAGTGTCTAAGCGACCTACTCAGTGACTTCCATGCTCAGCCAAGGCAGCCCTGCGCACCAAACTCCACACCTAGAAAGTTCAATAGGCTGTATTACACTTTAATAAATATGTGTGTTTTTGTTCTTTGCTTTTAAGCTCAGCTTAAATTTTGTCAAGGAAACCATTTCACAAGAGGGTAACATCACAATCTACTATCAGCAATATTCCTTGTTTATTAGAATCTGAAGATGTCCATATTACATCAAATATAAATATATATTATATTTACATTTCCTTCTTAGCTTTTCAATTTAGGTTGAGTGTATTTATAGATAATGCCACTAATGTCACCACCATTATAACCCTCAGTGCAACTCATATTTTCCTTCCACTGGATGCCTATAGGAATTAGCATCTTAAAAGAGGTGTACTGTTCTTTTTTAAAAATAAAAGGAAAAAATGGGTATCCATAAATGGGGATCTAGGAATATTCTATATTTTGCTTTGTTTCTTAATATTTCAAAATACCTGAAAACTGTGGTCCCTTTTTGTAGTACTATTCTCTACTTGGGGACAAGAAAACAACAAAATATGCAACTCAGAAAGGAAAAGAGAACCTGCTTGTTAGCTCATTAATCTGTTTAGTAAAGATTTGTTTGAAAATGTCTGAATGCTGTACAATATTATACAAAAACAATCTTGAGCCTTCAAAGCAGCTGGTACATTTTCTCAGAGATCTGTCTGCCCATCTAACAGTCTGCTGCCTTGGTGGGCCTTGGTCTTGGTCACTTCCGGTCATCGATAGTTTTAATGAATTCCACTGCCGCCGTGAACTGCATCCACCAATAGGACTCCTCTCCGGACAGACGGCTGGCATAGAAGCTGCTGATGTACTGAACAGTGGAGAGCAGACAGGGTGGATTTGCCTGGAGAAGTGAAAAATAAAAAGTCAATTACCCAGATGTATGGCTCTGCAAAAATCATTTAGGTTAACATCTTCCAATGTCTTTCTGTGAAAGAGGTACCTGTGCTTTTGTAAACAATCCCCACCAAATTCCTTTTTGGAACTATTTTGTAAACCCTAGCTACTCTGAGCAGCAGTGGTATACTGGGAGGCAAGGGGGGCTCTGATCCCAGCTGAACTATCTAGAGCTCCCTATCTTGCAAGTCACTTAAACCCACCAGTGGGTTTAGTTAGGAGGCTGAACTAACCCCAGTGGACTTAACTCAGCACCCAGGATTCCGGGATGTTAGATAAGGAAATAAATGCTGTATGCAAGCTGAGCTCTAGCTGGTTGGTAAGTGCAGGCCACATCAGCTGAGAAAGGGAAAACTGAAAAAGACACTGTTCCCTCTACTGCAAGAGGCAACACAGACATCTGCTTTTTCACCTTCTTCATGTGGAGAGAAAGGACATATGTTAAGTGGTTAGGAAGACAAGCCAAGTCCTGTTCCTTAAAATGAGCTTCACCTGGCTCTGCGTAAGGACTAGAACATCTCATGTGGAGGACAGCAGAGCAGGGGCCGACAGGAGGAGTCAGAAGGCTGCTCACATACTGACCCTGTGGGTTTCTGACCCGGAGTGCAGGGTGCAGAAATACTGCAAACATTAAGAATTAGTGAGATATGTGTCAAATATACGTTAGACATTAACAGATGGGCTGAGCTGACTGGAACTCATGACTGATGCAGTTCCTTGGCTGTGTGCACCCAAATCACATGGTCCCCTCCAAAATGTTCAAAATAAGCTGTTTACATCATGAAGTTTTAATTTTAAAGTCAAAAAAGGACAAGAGATGTCAGAACTTTTTTAAATAACATGGTATAGTTATAAATTAAGAGACTAGAGGAGGAGAGAGATGACTGGCAAATTTAGTAGTTTATGTGACAAGTACTCTGAGAATTCAATGTGAAAGGAGATGGTAGAAGCACATTCATTCATTCATTCATTCAATAATTACATACTGATCCCCCGAACCAAGAACTTCAGGCACTGCTTGAAAAGCTGAACATGTTCACCTAGGAATCTGGTCCTCACATCGTTTCTTTTGAAAACCCTAACTTCTGGACAGAACAACACTTGACATTAGACACTTACTTTCTGGATAACACAGAGCTTAAGACTTGGAAAAGAGCCAGGGTCTCTGACATCCTGTACCACCCTGCACCACCTGCTCAGAATAAACGCCTCTGACTCGCAGTGGGGAGGCGCCCACCTTTATCAGCACAAACACCAGAACAGGGACGAAGTCGTCTGCTCCCGGGACGGAGTCCTCATTGGCCAGGCTCAGGAGGTTCATGATGGTAGAACACATTCTCAGGATACACTGCACTTTGTCCCGCGGGGTCTTGTAAGCACTTATCGTCCTGATCTCTGACTGTGCAGATGGCCACGGTGCCTCCCGAAGATAAACCTAAGTGAGACCACAGGCAGGCAAGCAGGCTTGAATCTCATGGCAACTACAGGCAGCGACCACAGCAACCTCCTCCCGTCAGGGGCAGAAGGGGAGGGTTTTGCCTTTTCCTTTTTCTTCAGTAAAACCAAACTGTGGTTCCTTCCCCTTACACTACAGACTGAAGCCTAACTTTTAAATAATATGTTTTACACTTTAAAACAACCTATAATAGATATCCATTAATAGAGAAAAGGGCATACAATAACACAGAACCTAGAAATCATAAAATTCCAAACAATAATCTTTCTTGAATAGCTAGGGTGGGACTTCTCTACATGCAGCAGCTGATTCCAAAAGCACAAACAAGCTACTTTTAAAAGAAAATAATTTAAAAATTAGTAGGTGCCCTTGCTGCAGTAGCTTTAGAAATAACAGATTCAAAAAACCAAAGACAACTAAAAATGTTATGCTAATCAATGTTCTATTAGTGGGGATTTTAATCAAATAACCAGAAAGCTCAAACACCTGAAATGTTCCTAGTAAGAGCTTAGGGCAGGTAGAAACACTAGTATCCATAACTAATGTTCATCAGTTCCCTCTGCTGGAACAGCAGTTTCTGTGACCTGGACGCCTCGCCTGCACACCAGTGGCCTCGGGGGCAGGAGCTCCACAAGGCAGGCTCGCCCTCCTCTCCCCCACAGGGGTCCCTTTCCACGCCAGGGACTCAATCTTAACACTTGGAGGAATGTTTGAGAACTTCACAGTTAGACTGAATGACTTCTAATGCAAACGGTGTTACACACTTTATTATTAAACACTCTGTTTCCTTGAAAAGCTGGTAACAGGCATTGGGCACACGGAGCAGCTTTCAGTTCACAGCCCCTCCCCCACCCCTCCCCGCCACCTCCATTACCTCTGGGATCTGGAGAGCTCTGTGATTTGCAGTCACTACTTTAGACAGTCTCTGGATATGTTCATGAAGAACCCTGAAAACACACGTGTAAATACATATTTCAGAAAATAGGGTACACAGATAGTCATAATTGATTTCATCACAACATTTCAAATGTTTTAGACTTATTTCTAGATACAGATAACAATTACAGTTGAGATGATCTTTCAGCTGTAAGTATTCTGTCTTGTCAAAAACAGTCATATATGTAGGATCTGCTGAGAAACGCTGAGCGAGTGCATGCAGGGCGAGTAGGGAAGTCCTTTCCCAGGCTAGGACAGTACTCCCATGGAGAAGGGAGAAGCCCTCAGCCACACTAATTAGTACACAGGCTGACAGGAAGTAGAGGGATCAACAGCCAGAAACCAACGATCACAGATACTTGGACGGAGAAGGGACGCTGAAAACAAGCAACCTCTCATGTCACAGATGAAAATAATTAGGCTTAAACAGGTGACTGCTCCGCCTAAGGCCACACAGGGTCAAGAGCAAGGGCTAACCCCAGCTCTCCTGGCTTCTGGTGTTCTCTCCAGAAACATAGCACTCCGCTCTGTAAGACCCACAGAAATGCCACAGAGGAGAGGGGGAGAGCGAGCTGCTTCAACACTGCTCCTTGAGTAGATACAGTTCGAAGGTCCCCACGTTGGAAGCCCCAGCTGGCGTATTAAGTACAGAGGCCTGGGGTGGGCTAAAAGCCTCTGAGATTATCAACACGTGACACAGGCAGGTTGGAACGACCCTAGCCCCCTCCCAGAAAAGTGAACTCTCTCAAATATACATGCCCTATCTTAAAATCTCCAAGAAAAAAATCTTACAAAAGCCACGAATGGCCCACCCAAAGATCCTATTCCATGGACCCTCGAGTCGCCGGCACAGTAAGGCATGGCTACGGCTGGAAAGCACGAGGGCCACTTCAACTCACGTGGGGCAGAAACAGGGTTGGAAAGCAACGCTCCAGGAAATGCAGAGAAGCAAAAGAAAAATGCCAATCATCCAGTCTCACTACCCAAAATAATCAGTTTCCATTCCAGACGTTTTTTTCCAGGATTGTTTTTTTAGGATTACTTTTTAACAACAGCGTTACTGAGATATGAGTCACATATCATACAATTCCAGGTGTTTTTTGATATTCAAACATGTAACTTTTCATTCCTAATAAATAATGAATGCATGTTAGAAGTCAAGCCCTGTGCCTGATGCTGTGATACAGTGGTGAGTAAAAGCATTATGTGCCTGCCCTCACTGTCCTCTCCCGGTGCGGGGAGAGCAGCATTCATCAGATAACCACACAAACGAGTTCTCAAGAACAGGGGGCGATTCTGCCCCCCAAGGACAGTCAGCAATGTCTGGAGACATTTGTGGTTCTCACAACTGGTGCGGTGCTACTGATTCTAGTATGCAGAGGCCAGGGATGCTGCCAGTCATCCTGCAATGCACACAACAGCCCCCCACATCAGGCTCACCTGGCCCCAAATGTCAGTAGTGCCAGGTTGAGAAATGACTCTATCAAATGTAAGACTGCAATTGTGGCAGGTGCTACGGAAAGGCACATAGGCCTGAGGCCCTGACAAGGGAGTTAACCTGGTCAGAAAGGTCAGAAAAGGTTTCCCTGAGGAAGTGACACTTGAGTCAAGATCTGAAGGACAAGTGAGAGTATGAAGAAGGGAGGGAAGAACGGCTGGGGCAGAGTCAAAAGCAGCGCCTTTCCACAAGGCCATCCAGTCTCTACTCCCTCCGGCCTGATTCCCCACATCCCTGAAACAGGGTAGTATCATTCTTTTTGATCTTGTAACTCCGATGGGTGAAAAATGGTAACAACATGCGTCTCCCTTACTATTAGATACCAAGTCTCATGCACAGCTCGTCTAACACATGGGGCTGGCTGAAGCGTCCCTACATAGTCCAACAAGGCACTGACACAGGAGCACTCACTGGTCACGAAGTATGTCCCCATCCTGATTAGGGTAGAAGGCGAGCTTGAAAATCCGATTCATCACGCTTCGTTCAATGGCGAGCTGAGCGTCCTGCAGCTGCTCCTCACTCGCGTTCTGCCATATGACATCCTGGGCCATGGCACCGTAGAGGAATTGCAGGAAGTCTTCTACCTGAGCGGTTTTATCATCAGCGGCTGTGAGTTTCTGAAAGTCTCCAATGCAAAATAATCATTTTTAAAATACGCTATCTGAATGATTTAAAAAAAAAAGCATAGAAATCATTTTAATCGCTAACTATGTAGACACTATGCTAAAGTGTCTGGGCATGATTTATTTTAGAAGAATATGCAGCCCAATCATAAAAATCAGAAGAAAGGTAAGAGATATGCAAAAGTTTAAGAGCAAGGGGTTTGTTATAAAAATGATAGGCTTTGTTTTAAAAAATGAGAAAAACTGTGTGGATCCAAAACTACCAATTTTCCTAATTTTTAAATAAACTATAGATATTCAATCCAATAAAAATGAAATTAATTGTTTGACATCAAGGTTTAATTATTAAGAATCTATAAGATAACTGGGAACTTAAGGAACTGCTCTTAGACATATAGGTGCTCAAACAAACAAGCAAAACAATTTCCAAATCTTCCCAATAATATGTGGCTGCAGAGAAATGCTTCATCTAAAGGCCTTTGGTTACCTTGAATGAATTCCCTGATCTTCTTTTCTTTGCTCTCAAGCAGCAACCTCACACACACAGTGGTGAAGTATCGATTGGCCACCTCTTTGTCCCGCAGAACCCTTTGCAACAGTCTCTCCAGGTGAGCCTGCGTGGTCTGCAGGCCTTGTCGACAACGAGTGAGATAAGCAATATAGGGGGCCCTTTTCCTAGAAGGAAATATGCTTTGCATGACATCAGATACATACAGTGCATACTTTCTTTGGAGACTAAGAGTCCTAATTTTTCTTTTAAAAAAAAATTTACTACATCGATTCTGATTTTACAAATTGGCATGTCAGGCTGAAGACACCTGTCTTGAGGACGAATTATGCTGCCAGCTCAAGAAACGGACCATTCTGCCTGTTTGTGAAGAATACTGCCTCCCAGGCTAAACACTTAGCTACTTACGAAACACTACTAAGTTATTTCACATTGCTTGGTCTATTTATTGGGTTGTCGGAAAAGACACGAGGTAGTTTTTCTCTGTTTTTCATTGCAAAAATGTGTCATGACTTTTCCGACAACCCAATGTATTGGAGCATCGTTTCTATGCTGGAGGGGTCCCTGACTGGAAATTGACTGCTATAGGAAACTAAAACAACAACCTAATACTGGATCATTAAACATAGCACTGATTATTTTCACAGTCCAAATGTAACAATTATTAGAGTACCCGTTCCCTAGGCCTCAAAGCCCCTTCACTTCCTAAGCATCTCAATTACGTTTTTCTTAACTGAGCAACTGGCAACAGACAAAGGCAGCAATTCCTAGGCCTGCCCGTCTCTCTGAGCTTACGGAAGTAGTCTTTCCTATCACCCCTAAAAACGGGGAAATTCTATCCCAGTTGTCCTGGCCTCACTCTGCTCAAGCTGTGTCTGTGCAAAATGAAGCAAACTGCACTTCTGGTAGTAGGAGCTGCTCATTTATAACTACACTTGCAGACTAAAGAGCCAAAGCCGAGATTCATTCCTGGAACAAGGACTGAGAAGAAAACACTTGCAAGTGGAAACAGGTCCTCAAGTGATGTAGGCAGGGTGTATTTACTACCTGTAGTCTTCAGCAATAGATGCCAGCAGTTTCCTACACGTCCTGTTATCAAAGCGGCACACGCAACGCATTGTTTCTTGCAGCTGAGCCATTAAGTTCTTATCTTGTAAATTAATTGCTTCGGCTATTTGAACTTTTAGGAAGCATACAATTTCATTGTCTAAACAAAAAAATAAGAATTCTTTTACTGTTGAGAATTTCCATGGACTTATTACAGAAGCTGTATGTCATCCCTCAGCCTCTGGGATGTCAATTTGGCCTTACCGTGTGTTATCAGTAGGACTAAGCAGGATTGTCACTCTCAATTAGAGAATACTTTAATGAACCATCAGTAATCAAAGTGTCCTTAACTGATAACATAGTTGTATTAAGTTGAACCATATAGAACTACTATAAAGCTTACAGTTGATACTGGCAACTTCATATGGTTCAACCTATAAATATAGTAAAAAAATGAAACTACCATGCAGCAACTTACCTTCTGGGTCTGTATGGTCTGGTAAACCGTTCCTTGTTGAATGGGTTAGCATGGGGAAAGCAACAGAGTCCGCAGAGCAAAGAGCAAGCCTCAGTTTCTTTTTTGCATCCCTGAAGAATGAGTCAAAAATTCATTAATGTCTTTTTATCCAGATATGGTGACATTTTATGAACATTTACTACATATTCATCTGCTACCTCAGGACCCAAATGTTTCAAGTGGTCATAAATAAAAGGTAATTTTTAAGTTGCTGAGACCTCACTTAAAGGAGAGGCTTTCTAGTTCCCCAAGGGGCAAGGCTGTCAACGTGTTCTGGGCAAGGCCCATCTGTGAAGTCACCAGCATCCGTCAAACAACGGATGCTTTCTGATCACACATGCAGAGCCCAGGACAGGCACTATGAGGTGTCAGAAAGACGTACTGTGCCAGGGTTGGGAGGCACCACAGAAGTCGTCAGAACCGCCTCACCACCCACACTAACAGTGCTTCCTACTGCAACTCCTGACAAACGCGCATCCCGACACAAGACGAGCTCATTACTGGGTGAGAAGCCCTTTCCTATTATCGTGCTATTACTTGAAACCTTTTTGCACTGAGCCAAAACCTGCTTCCTTTCAACTTCCAACTACCGAAGCACCTAGTACTACCCAGGACAGCACACCCTTCAGCAGCACAGCTCCTTCCTATGGAGATGCCAACACTTTTGCCTGCTGGTGGCCGGGCCCTTTGTGGTCCTACTGGGCATGAACCAGAGCTTCTGATACAAAGAAGGGCACTGAAACATGTCAGAAAACAGGCCAGTGTTTCTTCTCCTGCGGATTATCACTTGTCCTCCTCAGCTGACTAGCTCTAAGTCTTCCCCTATTGGTTTGCTTCCTGTAAAAGGAGTAATTTACAAATCTAGCCTATCAAATGTAACATTCACCTACTACGCAAAGACTCATAACATATACAGTGGTAAAGTCATGGCTGAAAAATTAAAACTATGTGTGCCACTCCTTCCAATTTTACTGTAGGAAAAAAATAAATATCTTCATAATATTTAGAAATAAAATGGTACACTGTTTAGAGTTTGTTTTAAACCAATGGGGGGGGGGTAAATATGAAACAACATTGGCCATATATGTGGTGGTAACTGCTGAATCTGGGTAATGAGGACAGGCTGAGGGGGCTCCAGTAGGCTCACTGGGGACAGTGGGTTACTCAGCCCTACAGCTGAACCTCCCTACCTCCCCCTCCCTCACATTTCTAGCAGGGACTGAGAGCGCTGCATGGGCAGAGGCACTGCCACCTGTTTTGTTTTAATTACTTATGTGGTGTCTGTGAGCATACCCCTGAATTTCAAGCCTTTGATACATGACACCCACATGTGAGGCGATCTTCTTAGTCAACAGCCATTCTGTTTTCATCTCTCTGCTTTTCACATTTATTAAGTGACTCAACAAGTCACTTGACTTGAGGTGACTACAATGGTCATGACAAGTCCAAACCCCAAAGTCCTAAACCCTGTAGAGGAAGTACCTGTAAGAGAAAGCTGAATCCTGAGGGTGGGCCACCTGGCTTGCGGAGTCCGGGAGATCGTCGGCCGAGATGTTTTGCAGCGTTTCGTCACGGGGAGAATCGTGTGCACTTTCACCATCACCCATAACCTCTGAACAAAACCCACCCCCCAAAAAAGGATAAGCAAGTTAATCTGGAATATTCTGGCACTAGCAGTTATTCAGAGAAACTCAACCATAAGTTAGCATTGTGCTTGACCGTAAATTCTCTGAACAAGAAAGAAAACTTCAAACACTTAAACAAGTTATTGATAGTAATGACAATATATCAAGAGACCACTTGCTGAGAAGAAAATTGTTTTACTTCTTGCACCAATCCTAATTGAAAACAAAAACAATGCAAGTCTTTACTAATTTAATAAAGATAAATACTCGGTGATCGGAATCACTGAACCACAGAAATAAAAGGGGCCTCAGAAGTCACTCTACACGGCGCCCCCATTTTACAGCCACGGAATCCTGCCGATCAGCAAACAGCTTGCTGTGAGTGTCCTGGCGGCCCGCGGCTGAGGCGGGCCGTGCCCTCGGGCTTCCCGGCCTTCTCCACCGGTTTTCTCCCGCTGCCCGAGTGATCTGTGGGTGAACTCACAAATGCAGCCAGGACTGGTCTGAGGTTCCCATGGTTGTTTTTAATTAATCAATTTAGATAATTTAGGTAAGACATACACATATAAAATCAAAAGGAATAAAAAGTTCCTTAGTGTAATAAAGATAATGTGCTTATGCAGGAAAAATATCTTTATTCTTAGGAGATAGTTTCAAATGCTTCAGGAAAAAATACATAGAGAAAATGGAAAAATGTTAACAACTCATAAGTGTAGGTAGAGGGAATACGGACCTGCATTGTACTAGTCTTTCAACTTTTCTGTTATTTTACAACTTTTCAAAATAAGAAGTGTGGGGAGTTCGCCTCCCCCCGGGCTCCCCTCTCAGGCTCCCTATGAGTCCCCCTGAGCCAACTCACGTTACCAGTTTATCCGTGGGATTCTTCCAGAGACACTCTGTGCACACACAGCACAGATACATGCAGTATACAATGTATGCTGTTATATTCTTTTGTCTCCTCTTCATTTATCTGGGGGATTGTACCGTATTTTTCTGACAGCTATTCAAAAGTAGCTACTAAAAGGCTTTTACAGATCACCTTTATCACTGTGACACAAAGTTACTATTCAAATCTTGATGCTGCTTATCACCTGTGCTTTCATAGTTTGCCATCGCTCCTTCACTGGGGCTGCTTCGTTTAATGGCATTCCTGTATTTGTCCAGGATATCCTCAGCGACCTGAGCTTGCGCACTGAGTCTAGGGCTGGGGTCGTCTGCAGGGAAGGAGAGGAAGAGAGTCAGCTCCCCTTGGTTTGCGCCAACTCTGATGGTAGCATGACACCAGGACCACAATCCCAGAGGCCGATTAGGAGGTAAGACTTAAAAAAGAGCACATATCTCAACATTAAGAGGCACCATGCAGCTGTCTACTCATCCCATTTCTGGGTCTGAGAGCCTTGCCAAAGCAAACTTGGGAGGGTCAGCTCCACTCTTTCATCATCGCCAGAATTCTGCATGACACAGTCAAAAAGTTCAGTGCAGACTAAATGGATGATGGGTTCTGAAGTGCTTACACTCAAATCACCGTTAATAGCAATTCATGCTAACGGGACTTCTAACAATGCATTTTTATACGCAGACTTCATTTATTCAGACATCTCCATGCTGAAGGAGGAAAAAAAAAAGTATTTGTCTTGAGAATTAAAGTCTATTAAGTAATAATAAAAAATGCCTTCCTCCATTCTTCCTTCATGGCTTTCTCTCTCTACACCATATTTGAAAACTTCGGATATTCATATTCTAGATCTCACCATGACCGTGCAGCTGCTGAAGCAGAGCACTTTTGTGCATGCAGTGGTGTCAGGGGCACTCCTAGGAAATCCAGACATTGTGGGAGTGCTGGCATTGTACCTGGGGTGCACAGAGAAAAGGTTTATCCCAGTCACATGTGCACCACTGTTTAATGACAGGACCGTATCCTGTCAACAAAATCAGCACATGCTTTCTTGGAGCTGGAGATTACAGGCATTAATTAAGTTATCAAAGCAAAGAGCTGCTACTGATCTATGGGACAAAATTAACTTATATAGTGAATGCGAACTCCTGAGCTAGAGCTAGGCCAAGCAGGTAACCATAAATATCTACATTTTGGTAGAATCCCATTTTTTAAAGTCTGAAAACACTTGAGAATCACTGGATTTTATATATGTGTGTGTTAATAGCAGCTAATATTAATAGCAGCAACGTTTATTGAGCACCTATCACGTGCCAGGAACTGTGCTAAGCACCTTAAATGAACAACCTCAATCATCACCAAAGCCCTACAGGGAGGTACTACTGTCATTCCCGTTTCACAGAAGAGGAAAGCAAGGTTCAGAGAGGTTAAAAAGTTATGCTCACAGGCTCTTCTTTTGTTTCCATGAAAAAAATATTTAGTATTTGTGTCTCTCAAAAATTGTAGTAAACTCTAGAGAGAAAAGATTCCCAAAATAATTTAATCTTTCTGTTATAAAGGCATTTGAATGCATGATCAGAGAGTCTTACTCTGATCTTCCAAATGTAAACTAATAAAAACCTTTATAATTACAAAATCTTTTTTTGGAGGGGGAGCACTTTTTGTTACTGGCTTTGAGTGCTGTTGAGTGCTCTGAAAAAGGGATAATAAAATTTGGTTAACCATAGTGAAAGCCATAATTTTACTTATAAACTTTATTTCTGTAATGTCATTCATAAAAATTTTATCCCAGGAAATGAATAAAAACAAACAAAAAATGCTACATATATGAAGCTGTGAGCAGTATTTTCATAGTAAAAAACTGGATACAATTTTAATATCCAAAAGCAAGAGAGCGTGAGAACGTTCACACTATAGTAAAACCATATAACAGATTACCTTAGAGCCAATGAAAATTATTTAAAAATCAGCTATATCTAGTAGAAACTGGGAGAGGATTTATGAAATAACATGTAATAAAAGAAGAATACAGTTACATACATACTCTAAATTAATCATGAAAAACTATGTACAAATATGGAAAGATGGGGAGAGAACATGAACAAACAGGGTTGTGGGATTGTGGGCAGTCCATTAAGAAATTTCCTTTCATCGCGTTTTAAAATTGATTTAATGATAATTTTCAATGGGTCATTAATTAGGGGGTGGGTAGACGTTTCTACACCAGTAGAGAAGTTAAATGGCTTGAATCAGACACAAAGAAAATGAAATACTTTATGAATGAAACTTATTCTATTTATTCTACCTAACTTATGGTTTAGGCACCAAGAAACAAGAAACATGTATTGCCCAAAGACAGGTAAAAATTAATTGATAGCTTCTTCAAAATTATCAATTCAACATTTTAAAAACATGAGATTTCTTTAAGAGTATTTCACTCTGTTAACGGTGGTGGTGGCCTAACACTGAAAACATATAATGAAACATAAATATCTTGCCAAAAGGATGCCTTTCCAACTCTTCTCAATCAGACTGTAAGTTCCTGAGGAAAAGGGGTCCTATGTGATTTGACTTAATACCTACAGCAGTTAGCACAGTGCCTGGCACGCATTCCATATTCAGGAGCATTGGCTGACTGAATAAGAGAGACCTGACTGCTCTCAGCAGGGGACAGTGGCCTGGAAGCACAGCTCCTGCTGTTCAAACCCTTTCTTCCAGGAAAGTGACCCATCACATAAAGCAGGGGTGTGTGCTAGGACAAGGAACTACATGTAAATATAGAGAACTAGGCATTAGAATAACATGCATTTAAATGGGATTCTACTTGTGTTATATATACTGAGTTCTTTAAGAAGGATGTTCTTTTTAAACTTATCCCGTTTTAAAATAAAAATCTTCATTTTGTGTTGGATTTTTTTTTTTTTTTTATAGCTGAGCCATCCTGCCACCTGTTGGCAGCTCAGCTCGGGCCGGGAATCAAACCGGCAACCCTGTTGCTCAGAGCTCGCACTCTAGAGTGAGCTCTTAACCAACTGATCCACTCGGCCAGCCCAAAAGCTTCATTTTAACTTAGGAGGATAACATAATTTAAAGTCAAAATAGAAAAAAAAGAGGTGCGAAATTAATTTCCCTCTAGATGCTCTCTAGTCACTGGAAACTGTATACAGCTATCAAGCTCAAGGCTGGGTCTAATATTAACACTACTTCTCAAACTTTCTCCTTTCAGGGTATAAAGTGCCAAAAAGAAGCTGTAAAATTACAAGTGCTGAATAAGGTAAGAACCTAACCCCTAGTTGTATTTTCTCTGGGTCAGACAGCAATGTTAAAATGATTCAAGCTGTAAAAAACTGGTCAAGTTTACAAATTTATGATATTGTTTGAACAAACACCTTATTACAAAAAAAAAGAAAATTAGGTAAACCAGAATTTCACTGTGATCCTGAAAAATCAAGAACTATAGATGGAAATAAATTTAAGACTTCTATAATCAATGTTAGAGAAAACGTTAGAGAAAGCTTCAATCAATGATCCAAAGATATGGCATGCATAGCACTAAAACCATCACCACACTGTCCTAAAAGCACTGTGTGTCATCATCCCACTAAGATGTCGAGTTGCAGGGTGTGCCTAGAGGCTCAGGATCAGGGGTCTCATCATAAGCGGAAGTTATGATAATGAGGATGATGATGGTGGTGGCAGTCTGCAGGAAGAGCACACTGATTCACTGTGGCCGCCAACTGGAAACCACAGAGCTATGAAGGACAAACTCCCCACTGTACACACACAGACACACTCTTCTACAAAGGCAACGCTTATGGCACCCAAGAAAAAGTGTTATGAAATATGTGCTCTGGGAATGAAGGAGCCAGGAAGTCCATGGTCTACAAACCTGTGAGTGTTGAGAATCTGTCAGGCCCCAGATCATCTTTGTCTTTTTCTTGTTTTTCTTTCTTTCTAAATGGTATAGGAGCTGGAAATTAAATAAAGTCAGTAGTGTGACACATATCATACTGCACTACTTGGAAGACAGCAGTCATTCTGGAGTTAACTGGTGTGCCAACATCTCTAAGTGAAAGGAAGGTGAAAAGAGTCAAAGCTAAGAAATCCCGAGTGTCAATTGATAATGGTTTGCAAAACAGCATCGAAGGTTCTTAAAGACCCTTTCAGAATCTGCTTTAGGGTCATCTGCCAGAGGAGGAATGATTTAACAGGAATCTACTGGGAAAATTCCAAACCACTGATACTTAACCTCTATTCAAAACCAACACCTTCAAAGCTCTAAGCCTCATTCTCTCCTGCTCCTTGAGTGGGCTTGAGTATGGCATGAAAGCAGCGCGCCTCAGCTCCAGAGCGACACGGCGCCGGAAGAGCCCTTAGAAGTAGTCCCTAGCTTTAATCGTGGACGAGCTCTCCTTTCAGGAAGAAATGCTTTTACAAACTCAAACCTCAATATCTACTGGTATGATGCCAGGCTATTCACAAAAAAGAGCAAGCAATTTTATACAACTGCCTTCCAAAATAAACACTCACTAATATTCAAAGTATAAACATTCTCAATGAACATAAACATTAAAAGCTTAAGTTTATTCCCGGAATGAAAAGGATGAATTTCAAATTTTCAGTTTAATTACCAATAGCATCCCTTTTTCCTGCAATAATTATTGGCAATACATATGCCCAAAGTCCTATATGTTTAACATCAGTGGTACATGATATTTAAACAACCATGACTTGCATGACTTCCATTTATGAAACCACTACCACTTCCTGAAAAGAACAAGAACTGTCATTTCTAAAGTTCTGCCTTAGAATTCACCTGTGCAAAACCATTTTCTCAAAAACCCTCAAAACAGCTAGATACAAGCCCAGCAAGCCTCAGAGAGAGAGGAGTCGAGATATTGGCTCTCTGAAAGAGATTTTGGGGCTTTGCTTCTTGTTGCTAATATAGCATTCTAATATTTTATAAAATTACCTTTGGGCATGGCAGAAACAAAACGTTTTCTCCACCAAGGTCTGTTCCTGTCTGATTTCTCATCATCGCTATCTTTGCGTTCTTCAGTCTGTAGAAAAAGTTTGATGCTTTATTTGGAGCTGGGCAGCAGGACAAATTACTATGGAAAGGATTTCAGTTAGTCCATGAAATACAAAAATCACTTTGGTATGTCTTAAAAGCAAAACCGTTCTTATTGCTGTAGAGGCAACTTCTGGAACATGGACATGTACCTTTTAGGGAGCAGACTATGATATGCTTGTGGGTAGGCACTATCTCATCACTGTTATTGGGTCGTTGGGAAAGTCATGATGTATTTTTCTATGTTTTTCAATGCAAAAATGCATCATGACCTTCCTGACAACCCAATACTAAATTGAAAGCTTAATATGGAGCTTAGCATAGAGTAGGAACTCAATATATGCTTACGGGATGAGTAAATGCAATGCAAATAAAGTCTAGAGGGGTAGCAGAGAGGTAGCAGTGGTATTAATAATAAAACCGAGTACGAGCTGAGTGCCAAATACTGAACATGAAGAACATATTATCCCATTTAAACCTCACAGTTGCCTTAGGAGATAAAAAGTGTCTTTAAGTGCTTTTTATAGATGAGAAATATGAGGCTAAAAAAGGTTATCTCTCGGCCGGCCGAGTGGCTCAGTTGGTTAAGAGCTTGCTCAAGAGTTTGAGCTCTGAGCAACAGCGGTTCGAGTCCAGCCCGAGCTGAGCAGCCGCTGAG